CAAGAAATAATAAACCCATGAATATAAGAGCATCGTCCTTCTGGATCAATATGTATAATAAGATACTTGGAGACATTTTGTATTATTTATCATGGCCATATATTCTTCATTTAAACTTACACATACAGTGTAAAGATATTAGCTGTTTATGCTACCTGTCACGTTACATTGTGCTACTAATCTAACGCAAGTGGCACATCTGACGTTTTACCAGTAATGGAAAAGTCTGTGTAAGAACACTATGTATATAGTTAAAATGTACAAATGAATCCTTTCTTCAAACAAAACATGGTCCTTTATTCAGCAGTTAAAAGAATTGATTGTATTTATGTAAGCGTTTTAGTTGAGGTTCCACAGACACATTTGAGGTACAGTGGCGACAGCTGGGAGAATATTATCAGTACATACAGTAATAAAATGCAGCATAACAGTGGGTTATGTTGCTTGTGTGTATAAAAGTATGCATGTTGACTGTTGGGTTGTGGCTTAATAACCTGTTGTTTGACTGTAGTTGCTTTGTATCATAATTTGTCTGCTATGATTTTTTGTGAGTCATCTTGATTAATGTGATGCAAAGTGCATGAATTTCATCTTGAATCTATATTTTAAGTTCTTTGTAAAATGCGTCATAAAATATGTAATTATAAGAGTTTAGCAACATGTATTGTGATAGGTTCATCTGTGTTCTTTACTTCATAAATATCAATGCCTGTTATCATAAAAGTAGATTTTTTGTTGCAAAAGTCATTGTCCTGCTTGCCCTTATGTTTTTAACCTCTGTTGGCTTGGGAGTAGATATTTTTCCATTTATCGTCTTGCATGTGCCGATGCGTCGTCGTTTACTTTCCCAAGTTCCGTTGCCTTGGAAGTTGATTCTCTCTTGCATAATGCAAATAGCAGTATCTTCCCAGCTGAATTTCATGTTTATGCAGTTTTGCCATTGCAGTATTTGGTTTCATGTGTCCATGGTTTCTAATTTATGTGCACATGAGTAAAAAAACTTTTTTTTTATACCATGTGATCTGTGTGTGCTGGGGGTTCGGCTGTAATGGCTTCTGAAACCAGTTTTCTAACTTCTGCAGTAACCATTAAAGTTCATAATAGTTCTGAATGGTTCTGACAGTGATATGTTAACATTTACTATTACCATGCAATTGATAGAGTCCAGTAACAGTAATTGCTGCGGTGCATCTGTTAAACATTTTCATATTTTATATGTGATATTAGGGTTATGAATATTTTGTGCATATTGGGGGAACAGGCAACACATTTTGGCTTTGATGAGTGTTGTCAACCTCAGTTTCCCATAATTCCTTTTGTCTTGCCTACCACAGATTTGCTGACTGGTATTTTTTAGGAAATATTTTCTTTCATTCAAGTGGAAAATTTAATTTTAACATTGTTAATTACTTAAGATTGCATGGTTACTGTTTTAAGCCATGTGTTGGGTATAGAAGAGCACCCCAAGATCTAAATATGTGCTTGAAAGAAACATGGAATATAAATAATACTATTCTGCTCTTCTCTGTCTAATGTCTGTGTGACTTTTATACTGTATTCGACATATTTCACAGAATGACACAATGTTAAATCATTTAATTACAGCGTATATTTTGACCCAGTTCCTCCATTTTGACAGGGTATTTGCTGTCATTGCATGACTGAAAACAGAAATATACCAGTTCAAGAAAATTTGGTAAAAAATTAGTATTTCCTCAGTTAAACTTTGTAGAGAAAAGCAGACATGGTGTGACCTTTTGGACCCATTAAGCTCACAATTATGGGTGAAATTACCTCACAACACCTTTATCACAAATTGTGCAGCTCGCATAGTTTATAATTAAACAAAATTATCCTTGTGATTAATTAAATGTGATGCTATGAAGATATATGGGGAGTGGATGTGTAACTTCATGCATTCTTAACACTGGCACTAGATGAAGGTGACTGGTCAGATTCACGCTTTGGCTGCTTTATGCCAGGGGAAGAGGCCCTTGGTGCCCAACATATAGTGGGTTAGGTGGGCCCCAGAACCAGTCTCGACATTACGAAGAGAGAGATCTCTGCTCCTGCTGGGAATCAAACCCCAGTCTATTTCATAGCCAATCAACTACATTGAATTTAACTTTTATATGCATGTTTGTTGGAAAAACTCTGAGGATTTAAACTTGAGGTATTGAAGGCATAGTGTCATGTTAAATTATTTAACTATATGAATGAGTATTTATTCTTTTATTAATGATTATAAACCACCTGGCGCGGCTTGTAGCCTGAGAATCTTTCATCAGTTATAAACCATATTATCAAAGAATAACGTTAAAAAATTCTGTTTCTCCAAAACACTATGCACATTTGTGTGTGACTTAAAGAAGCCACAGTACTTACGTAGATGAGTTTTGCTGGATTGGAAAAAGTGTTTTTTGGATAAACTTTGAACCTTTATCAAAATGGCTCCATCCTGCTAATTTGAAGTTGATCAAGTTCTTCCATGCTTTTGTATTGATTTTCTTTACACTTCATTCTGTTGTTTTATTGAAAAGGAATGTTTGGTGTAATATAGGTAACTTTAAAAATAAAACGTATGTCAAGATACCTCATTGTTGATTTAACAAATAGAATTTTTGTTTTCTCTGAGAGGTATTCCTTATAACAGTAGTTTTTAAATTAATTTGGTATTTGGATAACATAAGAGAAACGTAACATATCCTGGGCTGTTTACCAAGAATTTGCCACCACATACATTTTCTGGAATTACTGGCGCGGAATGGTGCCCGAATTTATAACTTGTGTTGGGCAAGGCCGTGGTCTAGGCATCACGGAGTTTTCCTCCGTGGCATCCCAACAATTACTCCTCTCACACACAGAAGAAGGCAATGGCAAACCACTTCTGATCATCTCTGCCAAGAATGTATATATGTATGAGCAGGTCCCTGACAACCTGAAGAGGTTGGAAGGATCCTGTTCATAATATATGGACCTGTCGTCAGACAGAACACTAAAAAAAATAATAAAAAAAATAACTACATTAAGAAGGCACCAGATATGCGCTAGTTTTTAGATCGTAATGTTTTATATTATGCTTCATTGACTTCTTTTGCTGTACATAATTTTGTAATTATTGGACCATCAAACCACATACTGAGAATCACTACGCTTAGATGTTGAGCTTTCTGAACTGTTAATACTTTGTGTTTCATGTGCCTCATTCTTCAGAGCATGGATGTGCGATTAGCTTTATTCTTTACGCAGGTGCATTTTGCATGCTAATGCTATGTGTGTTCACCTTACCGTGTGACTCCTTTCACATCCTTGGCAAAGCATTGTTTCTCCTCCAGGAAACATGGGTGGGATTGGCTGCAGGGGACATTGTGCATAATTGCAGGGCTCAAAAATGCATTTAAAAATTGAATATGCTGGTTGACTTAGATATCTCAGGCATTGTGGTGGCATAATAATCTGTGATAAAATTCATCGTCAGATTACGTATACATGCATAAAATACTGTTTAATGTACCTGAAGGTACTTCTAAATTTATTCAGCGTAATGGCAGAATTCCATTTGTATCAACTGCCTGGTTTGGTTATGTAGTGCGCACACATGAAGTGTGACCTTCATTTGGAAAGTAGACAGCATTAAAATTATATTGGGACTTTCAGATGTAAATTGCTGTTTTGTTAAACACTTTCTCAGTGTGGAATATTATCTTGTATACTCACTTGTAATTCATACTCTTTTGGGCGTATTTAAGGACAATGACTGAATCAGTGTATCAGTTCATTCATAATATAATAGAGTTAAATGGATTTAGTATTTGAAGTTATTGTTAAAAGTTAATAGTCAGATTAGATTTGATGTGTAACTTTAGCTTTCGAGGGTCAGCTGCGTCAGACGATTATTATTCGGTGCCATGGAAAGCATTGCATTTGCCATGTTGTGGGTGAAAGTGTAGTGGTTGGGTGAGTTTCGGAGCTTTATATAGGGCAGGCAGTAGGTGAGCGGTTTGATTTTGTGGTGCTGCTTGGTGGAGCGGAAGAGTTGGCTTTTGTCCAGTGGGAGAAAGTTGAGGAAAGGAGATGATAATAGATTTTAAAGTTACCTCTTTCATTATCTTTGTATAACCTCTTTTCCTTAACCACCTTCAATTCTTCCATTGAATAGCTGCTTACCCTTCCACTCCACCAGTCAGCGCCATCAAGCCCAGTTCATCACCTATTGCCTGCCCTATATAAGTCTTCCAAAATCCCCTATCCACTACACATTCACCCCAAAGATAATAATCAACATTTGACATGGCTGACCCCTGAAAGCTGAAGTTATATACTGAATTCCAACTGTGAACGTCTGAGGATGCGAGATTAAATTTGGATGCAGACTGGATAATGTGGACTATAATTTTGCATGAAGGCTAAATACATTTTGGTAAATATTTAGCTGATCAAAAATTGTTTAAAGGAAAAGTTTTACTTTCTAATCAGATGAATGTTTTGTTATCTATGCTGGGTAGTGAAAAGAAATTAGTATTTTTAAAAACAACATTCATATGAATGAAACACCAGATTTGAATGAAGCTCCAAACTGAATAAATCTTTTTGTACACAAATTTAGTTTGTTTCTGCACAACTTACGAGTTTCATTCAGATATGTGTAACAGTTCATTTTTGTTGCTTTGAAAAAAGTAACTTTTTTGTGACACCCAGTACACGTTTGCGAAGAGATAATACTCGTCAAACACTGAAGTGGACTTCATAGCTATGCATATAAAAAAATATGCTTATTTCTAACTTGCCATGCCCACGCCCATTACCAATTCAGTTATTGCTTTATTTTCAACCAGTACAATATTGTTACCAAAATTTAAGATCTTATTTTGTGTAAAAAATGAAATGTTTAAATGTGTTTTGAGTCTTGCATGAGGAGAGTTCTCCCTATGCAAGGAGAGTGTTCTCTCTGCACAGTGTGCAGCAACAAGAAAGGGGGTTGGGTTGGTTGTTGTTGCCAGGCTGAATATGGCTGCTACCCGACATACTACTCCTCCTCGCAGATGGCGGATCCCAGCCGAGAGGAGGAACAGGTGACTCTTCTAGGAGAGGAGGGGCTAAGAGCAGGTGGACAGGCCCTGAAACTGGGGTAAATTTGTAACCTTATTCTCCTTTTTCCTTCGTTGAAATTTGGGAATGAAAATCTTAGAAAGAACAGAAAAATTTCCCAGTTAATATCATGATGCTTCCATTTTCTCGATTGTTGATGGATCTCATGTTACTTTCATTTACTTTTTTCTTTTCTTACAATGTTCACACATGTTAAGAGGTATGGATTAAGGATTTGTTTGGACGTTCAGATAACAGATTTCTGCTCATTATATTCTGATCCGCCATTCACAGATATTCCTGTCAGCATCAGCATAATCCTAACAGCAGAAACTGCATAAAAATGTGCAAGCCTTTGAAGTCACACAGGCACATTCTCGAGTTCTTACCTTTCTTTTATGTTGGGTTTGGTTTTATTACAAATTTTATAAACTCCATTATTTATATATCTAGTTTTAAGAGATTATATTAACTTAATCACATGGATTTTATTGCTTAAAACAAAAGAAAATGTATATGGCATGAAGTTTTAAGCAGTATGTCTGTGAATTCCCTTGTCTGATATGCATGACATAAAATTACTAATTTTGTATCAGGTTTAGGAAGTGGAATGTCCTGTGTGGTAATGGTAACTTTCTAAGATTTTCAGACGTAACTCACGTCCCTTTGCATCCGTAAATGTAATTTAATCTAACCTCCCTCTGCTTAATACAGGCCAGAGACAGGATTGGTAAATGTTTTGTTGAAACCAATTAATTGGAGCTGTAAGCATTTGAAGACAGTAGCCAGTCGCAAAGTGTGATGTTAGAAATACACATTCACTCTTCAGAGGTGATGTGTAGATTCATTTCAATGTAATGCACATAATGTTTTTAAAGAATATAATTGTTTGAAATCTTGTGAAGTAGAATGTGAATTGGGTTGAGTTGCATTCTGTGTAATCAAGGAATTTATAGAATAGTAATTGTGTACTGCTTAGGGAATAGACTATACCACATATTTGTCTTATTAAACATACGTACATACGTGAAATGTAAGAATGTTTATAAAATTAGTAAAATATTTCAGCCACTAAGATTTCTGGCTGTGGTCTGGATGACGGGTTCGATTCCCAGCAGGAGCAGCGTTTCTTTTGCCACCACATCCAGACTAGATCTGAGTCCCACTCAGGCTGGGGCCACACGGCCGTACAAAGTACGTCCGTTGTAATGCACATTGTGACGTCCGTCATAGAATTACGAAGGGGCATATAGTGCTTTTCTGAGGCTTCTGTTAATCCTACCAGATGAAATTAGATCATGTCTCTCCTGATTACTTGATTCAGAACTGACAATGATTGTTCTTTTTGTCATGTATGTACATACTTTAAAACTGCTCGGCTGCAAATGTCATAGAGTTTACAGTTACATTTTCTGTCTTATTCCAGAATTACCAAACCTGTTTCTGTATGATGTCCTGCAGTATGATAAGACGCTAGTGTTTGCAGTTTATGTTGAAAAATACGGTTTTCAGTGTTTTATTATTTAATTGTACATTTGTCACATCTTACATTCTACAGGTACAGTATATAATTATTAACACACTATTTACACTCTCACTCTCTCTCTCTCTAATAATGCTTTTACTGACACCGAGATGATCATTTTCCATTAAACGGGTGCACTCTATTATATTGAACTTCTTTAATCTTTTGTGTTGTCCTAATTTTCACACTATTTCACATTCACGTTATGAAAATCTTACATGAAACTTCTCATTAATCGGTTGTATTTATCAGGTTGTCTGGTGTTCTGAAATAATCTATCATAAGAAGGTGGCTTCCTTCTGAGTTGTAATGCCATGTAGTCTGATAGAAGTTTACCAACATTTCAGAGGTGCTTGGTTCTTGCTCCATCATCTGGGTGTTTGCCCTGCAGCAAGGACCTCTGAGACATTGGTGAACTATTAGACTATGTGGCACTACAACCCAGAAGACGGCCGTCTTCATCACAGAGGTTCTTCCATCACTGCTGTGAGAACCTCAGGTCATACATAATTAATCACAAGTACAATTTTTTATGGTAAAAATGTAATGTTGTCCCTGTAATTTAGCACCGTTGCAAGGGGCGTGTGGGGACACTGGAAGTAAAACTTATTCTGAGCACTGGAAGAAAGTGAGTAGTGGACCGCTTCATGCCCTGGCTGCTTTACCGGAAGACGTTTTAGATCGGAGGGAGGGCGGGCCTCAGGTGGTTTGGATGTGGTTGAGAAGTTAGTTGTTAAGTTTGTCCATTTGCCAGTACCGTTACTGACTGAGGCATTGAAATTCATACAAAAACATTAATTTGTAAATAATATTGTAACCATTTTTGAAGATGATTAGTTAGTTCAGGTTACAGGCACTAAACGGTGAAATTGAATGGTAATTTCTATCATCATTCCCAGTTTATGGTAAGATTTAAGGTCAAAGTTGTTTGTGTAACCTGTGAGACGCGTGTAAATTATTTTGTCATTTCACTGTAAAAGTGTTAATTGGCCTCAATGACATAAGCAGTTTGTCACATGGGTTGTCCTGGTCCTCACATTACTAAAACACCTTACTGTCATTAAGAATGTGAAGCTAATTGTGATTCGAAAGTCAGATGTAGAACGTAGAGCTGTGAGGTATATATATATATATATATCGTACAGTGACAAAATTAAGTTTAAAACAATAACCCACATGACTCTTCACACAGCATAAACTTAAGTTGATATACTAATGGCAGAATGTGATAAAATAATGTTCTTATTCAAATGCTGCAGGACATCAACTTTTAACTACTTCATTTCTTACAGTAATGTGTTATTAATGCTCAGTACGTAGTTTTCCGCCACGGTGGTCTAGCGGTCAGAACGCTGGCCTTGTAATCCTGGGGTCTCGGGTTCGATTCCCGGCGGTGCTCGAATTTATAACTTGTGTTGGGCAAGGCCGTGGTCTAGGCAACACGGAGTTTTCCTCCGTGGCATCCCAACAATTACTCCATTCACACACAGAAGAAGGCAATGGCAAACCACTTCTGGATCATCTGCCAAGAACGTATATGAACATGTCCCAGTCCGAGAAAAGGATGGAAGATCCTGTTCATATGGACCTGTCGTCAGACAGAACACTACAAATAAAAAATAAATGTAGTTTTGTGCAGTGTATGTCAGCAATGAGAGTGTGATATAATTTTTTAACTAAAGCTTATCTTATATATTTTATGAGCAATAAAATCAGGCCCCCACAAAGAAACTTTTATCACCTTTCACTTGGCTGCATGGATGATTATTTGGTTAGATTTGTAAAATCTTGAGTGTTACAGTGCTATCTGGGTGGAACAATTTTTGTTTTTATGGAATCAGTGATCATCTCTTTCATTTGATTTCTTTCTATTCTCATTAGCACCTTCAGAAATGGTCTTTTACTTGCAAGGTTTTTTTTTTTTCAAATTTCACTTTCTACCTCTTTTTATGTTACTGTGTGTGAACAGCTTTTGTGGAAATTTCAGACATGCTTATAGACTGTTCATAGATCGGCTATAGAATTGCCAAGTGATGTGAATCGTGCTAACTCCATGCAGTAAAAAGTCCTTTAGAAGTTAATAGATGCTAATCTTAGTTGTGTTTTAATGTTTAGTTAATTTTTTCTTAATTTTACAATCATTTGGGCCCCCACGTGAAACCAGAATGTGCAATCTGACCTTTAAAGATGACTGTCTTCTGGGTTGTTGTGCTGTGCAATCTGGCAGAAGTTAACCGATGCTTTCATTGGTGCTCGCTGTCTCCGTCGTCAGGCCATCGTCCCGATGACAGAGGCAGCAAGCACCTCTGTGCTCTGAGACCTGAAATCACATCAATCTGACCTTCATTTGACATATTCACTGTCACTGCCACGGAGGATCCCAGTGTGGCTTTACCGTTGATAGATTGTACCAAAGACCAACATTGGTCTGTGCTCTGAGGGTGTGAACGGTAATGAAATTTATGGAATTTTGACATTTTAGTGTGGCAGTGACAGTATGAACCACAGGAAAGTTAATGAATGGTTGGAAAGGTTCAGAGGAGGGCAGATGAGTATTGTTGATGTCAGTGTTCTAGATGGCTGTAACGTGTTGAGGTTTAGAGGCAGTGATGAGTGTACCTGGGTAACTGAAGAATCAGCGTTGATGCGTCTGAAGTGAGCTTAAGTTATGGAAAGAAGTGGTACAAGTATGGCTCAAAACCCACCTAAATGATTGCATTTAATTTTCAGTGTAACCTACATATTTTAGAAGTGGAGGCACTAATATGGGTAATGTGGTGACAGCTGTTGGGGTTTGTATGAAATGCACTTTAAGCAACTTAGTTTTGTAAGCAGTGGCCTTTATGTCCTTTGCATGAAAATGAATGCTGCTTTGAATTTTGATGACGAGGTATGTTTTCGTGGCTCTTGTTAGTGTTATAGGCTTTATTTCACCCGAAATACGCAACAGATCCTTGAGTCACATCTTATAGTAAAATGCCTTCTTTGGACTAACATTTTTATCAAGTTTTTTGATCTGCAGAAGTTTACTGATACTGTTAGTAACACCAAAAAACAGAACAGTACATTTTAGTTCTCTATATCAGTGGTATTCAACCTGGGGTACGCGAAGACATCTTAAGGGGTACGTGGAAATTTAAAAAAAATGTATATTTTATGATAAACACTGAATAATCAGTAATGTAATTTGTTTAATTTATTTTAGATGTAGATTATATACTATGTATAACTTGAATTATACACCAACAACTTTGGGGGTACAAAATTGAAGAGAAATTATATCTGGGGGTACGCGAACAAAAAAGGTTGAATACCACTGATCTAGAGTGCATACTCTTGAAGTTGATAGTGCATTTTCTTTGAAATTCGTGCTCCGAGACAGCCATTACTGTGTCGCTCTGTGTTGCGGGCGGCCTACATTTGTAAAGATGGCAAAAGTTATTAAGCAAGCAGTTGACTTTCTGCGTATGATTTGTTCTGACGTTTTCTCCTATTTCTGATTGGCTTAGGCACAG